GGGATCCCATATGGGCTCTGGTTCTAATCCTGGTGGCCCTGCTTCCCATCCTGCTCCCTGCCTGTGGCCTGGGAAAGCAGTCGAGGACGGCCCAAAGCCTTGGGACCCTGCACCCGCGTGGGAGACCCAGAAGAAAATCCTGGCTCCTGCTTCGGATAGGCACAGCTCCAGCCCTTGCAGCGGCTTGGGGAGTGAATCGTCGGATGGAAGAGCTTCCTCTCTGTATATCTGACTTACCAATTAAAAAAATAAGTTTTTAAAAAATTGCACAAAATGATCACATGGCTAAAACTTAAAGGTCAGTGAGACTCAGCGCAGAGCTGGACTGACACGCTGAAATCGGCTGCCACTCAATGAGCTCAGGTGGATGAGCCGGGACCTCGGCAGCCATGCTGTTGCCCCAGGTTCCCACTAGAGGGAGCAGCAGCGCTGCCCTCTGGCATCCTGAAGTGGTTGGAAACAGGGTCAAGGCGGACGCGTAGCTTTTGGTGGGAGGAGCAAACATGCCGACCTCGTCTGCAAGTCAGACGCGTTCTGGGGAGTTGTGCTGCCTGCGACCCCGCGCTCCACATTGGAGAAGCTGTTGTAGCTGCTGTCCTGAGCCAGCTCCCTCTTTACTGCAATCTGGGACAGCAGCGGAAGGCCGCCCAAGGGCCAAGGCCCTGGCACCCACGTGGGGAACCGGGATGGAGCGCCAGGCTCCTGGCTTCAGCCTGGCCCAGCCTGGCCACTGCAGCCAACTGAGTGAGCCCACAGATGGAAGATGTGTGTGTGTGTGTGTGTGTGTGTGTGTGTGTGTGTGTGTGTGTCTGACTGCCTTGCCAAGAAATAAATCTCTCAAAATATTTCCTGCTGTGTTCACCACCACATATAAAATGAAAATAGCCAATCTCACTTGAGTACATATGAAGTTTCACCCCTTCCTTGTTTTTTTTTTTTTTTTTAACTTTATTTTGAGAGTCCAGACAGGGGCAGGTAGAGGCTCCTGAAGTCACATCACAGGGCAGGAATATCGGCGTCTTCTCTGACTGTGCCAGGCAAGCGTGGTGCAGGTAACTTTCAACACCTGTAATCTTCGTAATTGGGGAACAGTACAGGCCTCAGGCCCAAATCCTCTTCAGATAACAGGTTAAAACATGCATTAATAGCATTTTTAAAAAGTATCTGAACCAGACCACTTAACAACAAAGGAAGCTTTTGGTTTCCGGATTTTCCTCCTATTTTTTAAGTTTATTTTTCCTTCTCCATTCCTTGTTTACCGTCTGATACAGCTCCCCTCTGAATAAATGCATTGATGTAAGAAGAGCTGTTTGGAAGAATACTGTGTGTGTGTGGGGGGATAATACTACACACAGGGAACCCGAAACAAAGAGGTGGGACCTGGGTGAATGACGCGGCCGCAGGACAAGTGGGTAGCTGACTGCCAAAATGCCTGCCGCAGCCGGAACCAGCCGCAGCCGGGACCAGCCGCAGCCGGGACCAGCCACAGCCGGGACCTGCCGCAGCCGGGACCAGCCACAGCCGGGACCTGCTGCAGCCGGGACCAGCCACAGCCGGGACCAGCCGCGGCCGGGACCAGCCACAGCCGGGACCTGCCGCAGCCGGGACCTGCCGCAGCCGGGAGCCAGGAACAGCCTGGTTTTCCACATGGGCGGCGGGGTCCCAGCCACTCGAGCCATAACCCACTGCCTTCCAAGGTGCCCATGCTGGGACCAGGATGTGCGCGTCCCAGGTGGCAACTGAATTGCCATGCCAAATGCCCACCCACAGATGGAGATGCTGGCCTGGGGCAAGCTGTGCCATTTTTACAGTGACAGCAATGTCTTCCTTACCAAACTGGGAACTGTGAAGCAATCAGTGTGGGATTGGCTATAAGCCCCCACGCCCAGGGACTACCTGATTCCCTGTCAGTAACTTCGTCATCAGCCAGGGTCACTGTTGCTTGCAACTAGGAACTGCAAGAATCCGACTCTTAGAAACGTGAACTTGACACTCAAGCAGTATGGATGAGGTCACAGTTCATGTTTGCCATGACGCAGGGAACACCTAGCATGCGTCTCACAACAGACACAGAAGTGCTGGTGAGTGAATGAATGACAGGATGATTGAATGGAGGAAATAGGAACCGGGTGTTCTGGAGCAAGCACGTGGACCTGCTACAAGGACCGGGAGAAGCAAAGCAAACCAAACTGCTAGAATGCGAACAGTGTCCCTTGGAGATTTGAGTTCCAGCCTCGGGGCGGGATGGGCAAGGCGAGCTCCGCGGACGCCTCCGGCACCCCTCAAACAGCCACGACACCTCTCATGCTCTGGCTGAGGTCTGTATTTGTTGCAAGCTGAAGGACGGGCCAGCTTCAGAATGGCAGGGCCCTATGGATGAGGGACGGAAGGGGTGTCCTGCTCGAAGAGCGTGAGGAACCTCCAGGTGGCCCCCAGCAGTGGATCACGCCACCAAGCTCAACTGTGCCCGCACACAGCTTATGCGGGCACCGAGGAAGCGGTGGAAATCGGGAGGCAGTGAGGGCTGCCTGCTGCCAAGCCATGCATCGTCAATGGCCCACTCGCTGTAAACCCATCTATCGCCCTCCTGGTGACAGATCAGGAAGCCTTGGCTCGCACCTCGGCAGCATCTAGGCCCTGGATGTCATCCGTGCTGGGAGCCTCAGAGTCCCTGGACGTGAAATTTTCTCATGCAGTTTCAGATGACACAACACACAGAAAATGGGCTGTTCAGAAGGTACATGAAGCACCAAGTCTCTAATTATCCTAAAATCACATTTGTCCCCAAACCAAGACTCCAAGTTAACCCCTCGGCAGTTCTCTGCATTTCCTCTACTGACTGTGCCTTCCAACACACGCAACTGTCCAACTCGCCGTTTTGTAACCTTTAGGCTGCTTAGATTCTAAACTATGACACACAACTGCCAACCAGTTCCACATTCACACAGGGGCTGGGGGCGTGGCTTCCTCCAGTCAGGCAACACACAGCATCCTGGGATGTCGGTCTGTTCAGCAGCAGGTGTGTGGGAGACGGGGAGGCCCCGTTTCTGCTGTATGCCCGCTCACGTACACAGGTGTTCACCCAGCAACCAGACAAGCACTCACCAAACTCGGTGCAACAGAGACCCCAAAATAATTTTAATGCAAATTACAAAACAAGTTAGTCTGCCTCCCTCACATAGCCCCTTGTGGAAGAATTACAGTACTTTATAAAAATGCCATAGGATGCGCAAACTACAGTGCCTTCGAATAACACCTGCTGCCAGTCCTGGTTTGGTCCTGATTTTCACTTTTTGGGGGTCGTCTTTGGTGACTTCGTGTTGGTCAGTGAGGAAAAGTTGATGAGAAGCACCAGCAGGGGAGGGTAGGTGGGGTCCCCTTCCTGATGCCATGGCCTCATTCCGATGGCTCCGGGGTGGCCCACGGCAGGAGCTCCTCAACGCGTGTGGGCACTGAGAAGCCACGAAGACCACACGGCCATTTCCAAAGAGACACACAGCAGCTACTGCTGCGTGTTCCTGCTCACAGCAAAGACCCAATGCAGGCGGGAGTGGCCTTACCCGGGGCCACGCTGTGCTGGGCCTGAGGCCTCCCCATGGGGAGGAAGATGGGACAGCCCCTGCAAACTCCAGCCCACGGGGCTGCGGACTGGCCCAGCCCCGTATTTTCAGTCTCACGTGGAGACGTCAGATACTGTTTGACAACCAATGGACAAATGAACGAATAATGTAGATGGAAAAACCCAATCCTACGCTAAAAGCTGGCCTGAAAACTACTCAACCCAGACACCTGCCCAGGCTGGAGCTGAGCTGACGACAAGTGACCACGGGGCACAGTGCGCAGTCAAGTGCACAAGTACTGAGCCTGAGTCGCATGCCCTCTCCCTGGGCCCTGATCGGTCGGTCCCAGGACCCAGAGGCCGCAGAGGCTTCTGTCCCCACCCCGCCCCGCCCCCACTGGGGTCTGGCATCGCCACACAGCTCACTGCGCCTCCACTCCTGTGGACGGACGAGCCACCTTTCCCAGTGGGGACTTCCTCCCTGGCTGCAGTTACCCCAAGACCGGGCGACCCTCCACAGACGCATCCTCTGGAGGAACCACACAAAGGGGCACTGTCAGGAAGTGCCCATCTTCCCCGGGGCCGACACCCTCAGGGGAAGCCAGAGCCGGGCCTCACCCGGACCACATAGCCTTCTGCTTTGCACCTCGGGGTGGTGTGCAAGCCCCTCACAGTCTCACTCCTTTCCCTAACTGGTTTCCTAGCTGTGTGAGAGCCCTCAGGGGACAGACCACCTCCACAAGGTGTCCGCTGTGCCCAGGCCATGGTGATGTGCACTTGGTAAAAGATGCCAATGAATAGTGGGCGGTTCTAGGAACAGAGGTCTGTAGGGGGCAGCCAGGCTGAGGACGCGGGGCAGGGAGGGAAGGCAGGCTGCCGGGCACTACCTCCCCACCTCCCCAGGGTATCTGAGAACCGGGACTGGAGCTGGTGTGGCCCGGATGTAAGCAGCTGTAAGAGGCAGCAGTGAGGGTCAAGGGCAGGTGCAGACGCAGGCCAAGGTCTGCTCAACACAGCACTGGCTCTGCTTGCTCGGCCTGGGGAGCTCGTGTGTGCAAGGTGCCCAGGCCCCTTCTCTGCAGTTGCCAAGGGTGCTGAGGAGCACGGGTGAGGAGCCGTGGGTCTGACACAGGCAAGGCCAGCAGGAGCGACCAGTAGGGACAAGGGGACACTCCTGCTTACCCAGGGAGGGTCGGGGCACAGGTTGGCTTACGTGAGGCCCATGGGGGCTACATCTGCTTCTCCCACAGAGCTCTGGGCACCCAAGGGACTGCTACCCCCAGCTGGGACCTTCTGGCGTTGGGACTCAGGAGAGAAGGGGATGGGAGTGGCCAGAACCCCAAGAGATGCCACCCCAGGCCGCCTTGGCTCTGCGTGGCTGCCAGCGTTTTGCTTTTCCATTGGGCGGTGCAGAAATTTTCAGGCAGATGGTCGTTCTGACGGTCAACTTTCAGTCTGTAATTTTTGATCCTCAAGAATGCAAAAATTCTTTTTTTTTTTGGTTTGGTTTTGGCTTTTAAAGGAGACAATATGTTTGCTAGAAAAACCACAAAACAACAACAAAAAAATAAAATGATTATATACACAGCGGTGACCCGCGTGCGGACGGGCGGCCACGCGGGGCAGCCCCTCTCACTTGCGCTTCCTCAGGATCAGGTACATGAGGCCACTGAGGAAGGTGAAGGCGAAGGCCACCCAGGCCAGGATGTAGGCGTAGCCGTATCTGCCGTCCAGGGTCGGGCTGTAGTAGTTCAGGTTGCTGTTGTGCACGTCCTGGCGCCGGTCTGTGTAGATGGACGCCGCGATCATGACGCACAGACCTGCCGGGGACAAAGCCGGGGCTCAAGGACCAACAGCTCAGGCTCCCCCCAGGTGCCTGGGCATCACAGCGGGGCTTCAGGGGCGCATGGGGGAGCAGACCAGGCCACACGCCACCCCTTCTCTCTCCCCTTCTTGCTGGCTCTTCCTCGTTCTGTTGGGGCAGCCAGAGGACAGGCCACAGCCACTCTGTGCCAGGACTTGGCAACCTCGTCCCAGGACAGCCAATAGCTGAGGTTTTCACAGGCCGCAGTCACAGCAGATGAAGCAGCTGTGTTCCCAAAACCATGTATTTACTAAAACATCTGGCAGGCTGGGTGGGGACCCCAAGGGCCACAGCTTTCCAGCCCTATTTACTTGTTTATGGCTCTGTGTCCTCAACTCTGTCCCCCACAGGAAGTCTCTCTGTGGAATAAAAAGCAAGACTCTCTGCAAAGAGGAAGAGGAACTGAGGAGGAAGCATTGCTTTATGGCTGGCTTTCCCCTAGCTTGCTGAGACTGTTGGCCAGAATGCAATGTCTGGAGCCACAGCAGCCTGCTCAGAGTCAGGAGGGAGGGTAGTCAACAGAACGGGAAGATGTTCAGAGTGGCGGTGCTTGAGGCTGAGGTGCTGCCTGGCCACCTCCCTGGCACCATCCACCTGGAGAAGAACAGCCTCTCCATCTGGGGATTGTTTTCCTACTGAAACAACCTGCAATGCCAACACTCACAGAGATCAGCACTGAGATAATGAGACTCCGTGTTCTTCCCGGGGCACCTGTCCCTCTCGGCCGCACGGCTCAGGCGGGGGCACAACACACGATCCTTCCTCGCATCTCTGTCTGACGTCAGCCTTGCTAAAACTCCCGAGGAGGAAGCCGACTTTGGGCTCACCCAGGTCTACAGCTGTGATCCAGCCACCGGCTGACCCTTGCACGGACCAAGTCCAGCTCTCTCCAGCTGACAACTTCGCATCCGCTAGGGCCAGAGATCTCAACCTGCCCGTGGCCCAACTGGCGACCCACCCCCGACACCTGGCCCGCTGGCCAGCTCCTGGTACCAGCCATCACAAGACTGCAGCCAGTCTGTGCCCTTTCCCTGCACTGCAGGCAGCCTTTGCCACTCAACCACAGATGCCAGCTCAGGCTTCATGTCTTGGGGATGTCTCTCCTGTCCCACTGAGCCTGCCTGCTCAGCACGGCGCAGTACCCACCTGCCTCCTCCCTGCCAAGTCCGCACCTGCCACACCAGGCTCGCTAGGAACAGGGTGCTGACCCGGCCAGCCCCTCGCTGCCACTTACATGACATGAGCTGGATGATGGAGGTCAAGACGAATCTCTCGCCCTGCTTGAGGCGGAAGAGCTGCAGCAGGAAGACGAGGAAGGAGATGCAGCAGAGGATGGTGGACAGGATCATGGTGGCCTGCACTGCCCGCAGCGTGGAGAACTCTGTGGGCAGAGGGCATGGGCAGTGCTGAGCACGGGACCGGAGCCGCCGGGCCTGTGTACATCTGACAGCCCTGAGTCGGGGGTGCAGGCGGTCACCTGTGCCAGCCGAGGAGCCCTCCACGCCTCCCCCTGAGGTCCACTTGACAGCACCTCCACACTCACAGCACCCGTCTGTGCAGCTCAGGTGCGGGAGGGGCTTGGGGACCGAGGCAGGGTCTGACCCAGCAGCTGCTGAATAAGAAACCAGGTCGAACCTGGGGGGTCTGCACCTGACCAAGAAAGAGGGGCTCTCAGGGTTCTAGATCTCCACGCTACCTTCTGCCAGCACTCAGCAGGCTCCCTGGGAATGGCAGGGGGTGACCTCTGAGATGGCAATTTTGCAAGGGAAGGGGGGCTTCCTGCTTTTCAGATTGACCTTAAACTGAAGGCTGGGAGGGTCATGGGCTTAGTGCAGGAAACTCCAGTGGCAAGGGGCCAAGGCTGCAGGTCAAGGGGATCCACTGAAGGGCGAAGGACACAGCGGAGGCTTTATTCTGGCCAGGTACGCACAGGAAGACGTGTGCACACAGGTGGCTTCCGCACCTGTACAGTGAGGGTACCAAGACTCCTACCTCACCTGGCCAGGAAGGGGAGTGAACCCATCTACATGTCTACGTGTAGGGCATGTGTGGGGGGTTCCCAGTGTCAGCTGACACGGGGGACGGGGCGGGGCCCAAGTGGGCATCTCAGGACAACTGCTCGCAATTATGCAGGGTTACAGGAAGCTGGGCACAGACAGAACTGGGCGGCACTCCGTAAAATGCTCAGAGCAGTGGGCTCCAGAAGCCCATGTTGTGGAACCCCAAGAGGCACTGTAATGGCACGTGCCTCTTGCCAGGTTGACGGCAGAGAGGGCACAGATGCGGCACCCCGCTCCTGCTTTCCCGTGAAAATTACTCCAGAGGCTCCACACACCTGGCCCCTCCTGCCACCTGTTCTGCTACCTTTGGCCGTTAACTATAGGAGAACTTTGGGCTCTGGTCACTCCCTGTCTGCCTGAAACCTTGTTTGTACCGCATGGCTCTGGATCTGACTGCAGGATGAGAGCTTAAAAACCCCTGACTTGTCAGCTCTGGGCACGGTGGCTCCTGGAGTGTAACGGGAGCTGCTGTCACCAAGCTTGGGACATAAAGACTCCCAATATCCTACACTTGGGTCCAGTGTGAGCTCTTTCACACTCCGCACAGCACCAAAGGGAAACCTGCTCCCAGCTATGGCTCCAAGGCCGCTGCTACCCACGGCACTTGATGCCCCCTAAGATCTGGGTCTTTGGTTGGCACCTTTGCTTGGCTTTGAGCGTGGGACAGAACCATACGGGGGCCCGGACATTTCCAGAGGGAAGGACTTCTGGCCAGACTTGAATAATGACATTTGGTTTCAGTCTAGGAGTTTGTTTAAAAGCCTTCCTTCTGTGACCAGGAATGCAAGCGTATCACTCGTGGGGGGAAGGAAGGTGCCCTTTCAAAGAAAGAAACACGAGGAGGAGGTCAGCTGTGGTGGGCCAAACCCCGCAAACGCTCACAGGAAACTAGGAAACGGGGCTGGCAGCAAGCGGCTCAGGCTTCGAGGACCACAGGGCCCTCCTCGCTGCTTGGTTTAGGGTTTTGGTTTTCTTTAGCTAACAGCTCTTTTAAAATGTGGCAGTGGTTCTTGGCTCAGGAGCCACACAAAAGCAGCCTTGGCTGAATTCAGCCAGTGCATGGCGGGCCTCTGTTGTAAACAGAGATCCAAGTAAACAGCCCCTTCCCCCGTTGCTGGCCACACGCATGGGGACAGCCAGCCTCCTCCCCCGCTGCTGGCCACACACATGGGGACAGCTGGGGCTGGCAGGCGCAGGGGAAGGGGGCCGCTTACAGCGCCCTGGGTTAGCTGGGGAAGGCTCCCTGAGCCCTGTGGCCTTGAGCTCGGAGGGGTCACATCTGGCCTGAATTGAAGCTCCCTCCTTCCTGCATGACTCTGACCTGAGATGGCCTAATTAGCCTGTGTGCTGGCTGCCCCAACTTAAAAAAATAAAGCTGGGACGCTCAGTGCGGTAGCCTAGTGGCTAAAGTCCTCGCCTTGCATGTGCCAGGATCCCATACAGATGTAGGTTCTAATCCTGGCCAACCTGTTTCCCATCCAGCCCCCTGCTTGTGGCCTGGGAAAGCAGCAAAGGGCGGCCCAAAGCCTTGGGACCCTGCACCCACGTGCGAGACCCAGAAGAAGCTCTGGGCTCCCAGCTTCAGATCGACACAGCGCTGGCCATTGTGGCCGCTTAGGGAATGAACCAGCAGATGGAAGATCTTCTTCTCTGTCTCTCCTCCTCTCTGTATATCTGACTTTCCAATAAAAATAAAATAAATTTAAAAAAAAATGGGGCTGGGGGTTGGGTACAAGGAAGACCCAGCTCTAGGCTTCACAGGAGCCCTGCGGTAGGCGGGGCTTTCCCTAGCTATGCTGTTAATTATTTTTGCTGCTCTCGGCAATGCTGATGTCCTTTCTGGGTGCATATTGAGATGTGGGGACCTAGAGGGTAGTGTCCTCCGCTCCCCAAACAGGCTGAACGAATAAAAACCAACACTAGAACAGGATGCCGATTAAGCGTGAAGATCCGATAAAGGATGGATTACTTTATTTTTTTTAGTACAAATGCGTCTCCATTACTACATGGAATGGGACATACACTAGACACTGCTTCACCATTTAACTACCATATTCATGATAACTGGACATCATCAGGCCACAGGGCACCAAGATGCACCCAGCGTCCATTCTATGACAGAGAGCGCAACTGTTGGACCTCACGGTGGCAGAGGAGGCAGCTCTGCATTCACAAAGCCCTTGCGTGCAAGGGGCAGGCGTGGTGCGGCACCTTACCACCCCCCACTCCACAGCCGAGGAGCCTGGGGTCCCTAGTGAGGCCACCTGGGAGCCAGCCCTGAGACCAACCAGGAACCTAGAAACAACTGCTCTGAGATTACGTAGATGCAAGGCTTGGCTCAAAGACCAGAAGAACATTCTAGACAAGAACAGAAGCCACAGAGAGATGAGACCCAACCCAGCCCCCTGCCACCCCCTGCTTCAGGAGACACAGGCCAGGCTCAGCCTGGGCTCCTGGAGACCAGGAAGCGAGCACCAAACGTCCCCCTCCTGACCCTCTGCGTCCCATTCTGCGTCACCCACTTGGCTTCGTTCCTTCACACTCACCTTCAAAGGAGTCCCCGATTTCCGTACAGTTTGTGTTGTTGATGCAAATTCTCCAGACGTCTGCAAAAAACTCCTCTCCTACCCACCACGCCTGGAATAGGAAGTGAGACAGAGGGGCGGGTGACGGGTCTGCGCTGCCAGCCCAAGTGGTGAGCATGGGCTCTGGTTTCTCAAATTACAGGACAAAGGATGCTGGCTGGGTGAGGTGTCCCTGCCCTCAGCCCAAGTATAGTCTCTTCTTTCCTTTCCGGGATGCTGCAGCCCCACAGTGTGAATGTGTCCCCAGAGGTCTATGGCCCGGAAGCCTGGTGTGAGCAGAGCCGCTGGAAGGTATGAAAGCTGGTCTTGCGGAGTGAGTTGGCACAACAGCAGCTGGCTATGGCGGGGTGAGTGGACGGCTCGGTCTTGCACCACACACGCCCACTCTGTGGTGTAAAGCAACAGGGGGCCTTTGCCAGAACCAGTGCGTCCGTGCCACCAGGCCTTCCAGCTTCCACAAGCTGTGAGCCAAACCCACCTCTTTCTCCCCAGATGTTCCAGCTTCAAGACTGATGTTAGCGCCTCCCCAGCCCACATCTAGGACAGACCCCCCTCTGTCTGGTCAACCGCTGTTCCCGCTGCTCCTCTACATATCCACCAATGAGGAGGCCTGCAGGTGCACACTGAGTGCTGTCCGGCTCCTGCTGGCAAAAATGCCCACGTGTGCATCCTGCCAGGAAGTACCATGACAGTGGAGAGCCCCGACCCCTCAGGGTGCCTGACAGGGGTCATCGTTGCTGTTGCTACAGTGACTAGTCAACAGGAGGCCTGCCCATACAGAGTTGGGGTGCACCTGTCGTGGTACACTCAAGAGCCTCCCAAACAATGTTTCTGCCCCATGAACATCGGACAGAGAAGAACTCTGCAAAAAAGAGGGACATTCATCAACATCAAGTCTGTGTCTGTCAAGTTCATCCCTGCCATGCAGCCACAAGCTGGATACTAAAGGCAGGAGTTACAGAGCCCTGGGGAAGCGTGCAGGGCATGGAAAGGTGTAAACAGGAGCCTGGCTGGGCACGGCCCAGTGACACAGTGACAAGGACCTCTGGCTGGGGGTGGGGAGCAGACGTCACCTGCCATGGGCCACCCTGGAGATCCAGGCCAGTGGCCCTCAGGGTAGGTGCTGGTGGCTGCTCCCCATGGGACTCTGGGCCGTGTCGTGGTTTCCACAAGGAGGAGGGAGGCTGCTACTGGCGGCTAGGGAGCAGAGTCCAGGCATGGGACTGAATAAGCAGTTGGCAGAGCCAAGATGCCACAGGCCCATGTGCCACCAGTGCCGAGGCAGCCTTGCAGCATTGGTTAGACTGGGCTCTATGCAGGGAGGTGAGCTGGAGACCAAAGTGACCAGCCTACACAGCTGGCAGGGGCTTCTCCGCGGGAAGGAGGCAACCCCAAGGCAGGGTCACCCCTCTAGGCCCAGGGTGGGGCTGGGCAGGGGACTCACATTGTCGATGGTGGAGATGAAGAGCAAGGCTGCAGAGACGATGTGGAAGAAGATGATGAAGACCAGGAGCACCAGCATGTTCGCGGGACACAGGGGGCCGAAGGGTCACCGACAGAGCCCAGGGAGGGGTGTGCTGTTGCTGCTGCGGGAGAGAGAGGGAGAGAGAGAGGAGGGGGGAATTAGACATGGCTGTGACCAAGCACAAGGAAGCCAGGAAACAAGCACCTTGAAGTGAGGTCTTAAAAGCTCAAACCATCTCACATCTTCCCTGGCCTGGAGGACCTGCTAGACTGTGGCCAGAAGCCGTTCCCCGGTGGAACCAGACACCACGCTCCTGTGGAGGAGGGGAGGGTGGGACTGGCTAAGGTCGCCACTGAACAGAAGCAGCCCTGCGCCAGCAAGCAGCAGCTGTGTGTACGCCAGGAGCTGCCCCGGATCCCCAAGCCCAGCAGGCCTCTGTCTCAGGATTCTGTCCTCTCTTTAAAAAAAAAAGCTTTATTTATTTGAAACTCAGTTTAAAAAGGAGATCTTCCATGCATTGGTTCATTCCCCAGGTGGCCGCCCAGCAGGGCCCAAGCCAGGCCGAAGCCAGGAGCTTCCTACAGGTTTCCCATGTGGGTACGGGGAAGCGCTTGGACTGTCCTTTGCTGTGTCTCAAAGACGCATTAGCACGGAGCTGAATCAGTAAGGACTTGAGCAAGTGCCATATGGGATGCTGGACAGCTAGCAGTGGCTTACCCCGCTACACCAAGTTCCCAGGATAACGTTTTTTTTTTTTTTTTTCAACTCAGCAGGATGATCTGAATAACATACAACAGGAAGCAATTACAAATGAAATGGAAAATCTTAGGATTGGTACTGTGGCATAGTAGCCTAACCCTCAGCCTGCAGCGCCAGCGTTCCCTACGGCACTGGTTCATGTTCCAGCTGCTCCATCCTGACCCAGCTCCCTGCTTGTGGCCAGAGAAAGCAGCAGAGGAAAGCCCAAGTGCTTTCAGATAAAATAAAACAAATCTTTAAAAATAATAATAAAAAAAAAAGGATAAGATGGCCAAAGAACTAGAGTCATAGCAAGTGGACAAACATGACATAGAGAACGGCTCAAAATATCCCAGAGGCACCAACGCACGAGAACTTGCTCACCAGGACTGAATTCATGACAAAAGAGGAAAACAAAAACAGATGATGGGGAGAAATGCTAAAGAAATAAAAGTCACACTTGGGAAAGCTGATGATGTCTTCGCACATTTTCACCACTATGACACCATCTCGGTCAATAAAAACACGCCCAATGATGAGGTCACATCCAACGACATGGCTGAAAGAGCACAGCCCCTAAAACCCACACTTGGAGCATTCCGCTGTCATTCCATCAGTTCACAACCTGGCACTGTTCCTGCTTAGCTTTTTAAAATACAGCCCACAAAAATAAATTTTGAAAAATTAGAAAAAAATACATCCCACATCAGAGCTTATTGTATGACAAAAATGTCAGCCTGCTTTACATAGCTACACACACACACACACATTCTGAACCACTTCCAAGTAAGTTTGGGACATTTCCTTACCCAACCACCATGGGATGTGCACAATTAACAAGTTCACAGCACACAGCACAACCGTGTCACCTACAGCCTGCATTCGGCACCCCTACGAGCGGCCAGGCCGTCTGCAGCTCGCCTTCGCTGCCCAGGACCCCGGCCCAGACAGCGCCCTGCATTCATCGTCTTTCCTCTTTAGACCCCTCCCATCGGGAATTCTTCTAGATTGGCTTTTTGTGGCACCGATGTTGAGTGCTCATCATTTTCTTTGGGGACTGTCCCTCAGAGCTGTAGAGGGCTCCTAGTGACTCTGTTCAGGTTCTGGAGTGTTGGAAGTGGCGAGGGCAGGGAGGTGACATCAGCTATGTGGCCTCGGTGTATCCCACCGAGAGGTGCAGGGTGGCCGGCTGTCCCCTTGCTGGGCAGGCCAGCTCTGACCACCTGGGGATGCCCACCAGGTGCTTTCACTGTAGATGCTTCCTTTTGTAACTGAAGAGTAGTTTGAGTTTCTTGATTGAGTGAAAATATGATATTATGAAACTAATGGCTAATAAAGGATGACCACAATGTTGCACATCTGTCACTATCATTTCATTCTAGAACACAACAGTGCCTAGAAAGGAAACCCAGCCCCTGTGCTGCCATACCCCCGTGGGAGACCAGACGCTCCTGGCTGCTGACTCCTAATAGCCCAACTGTGACCGTTGTGGCCACTTGAGGAGTAAAGCAGCAGATGGGAGATCTCTGATTTACCTCTCTGTGTAACTGATTTTCAACTCAAACAACGGATGAAGCAACGGCTCTGCTCTCTCCTCCCCAAGCCCCCGGCATCCTCTATCCTGCCTCCTGTCTCTGTGTACCCACGTTTGTGCAGATGGGACCCCACCACGCACTCTCGGGTGCGCCTCACTTCACTTAACGACGTTTTCCATCCGTCCACGTCATGGGTCCTGCTTGAGAGAACGTGCAGGTCCCATCTCTCGTCCAGTGCTAACATCTGAGCATGCGTCAGTATTTCTGATGCAGAGTCCTCTGGAACCCGCTCTCCCACTCCTCCAGCAGGCATGCTGCCTGCACGCACTGTGCCCTTTCTCCATCGGTCCTCCTTTCCAACCACACTCCCTCTCCACCCTTACTCCCTCAGGGGACGGACTGGCACTCACAGCCCTGCCCGGCGACCCAGCAGCCCTGTGGCTCAACACTTGGTCTGGGCAGGCCCAGCGGGAACTCCGTGCATCACAACTTGGAAGAACCCACCGAACCGGCTGTGAGATTCCTTCAATTCCTTCAAAAAGGACAAGCTCCCCTTTGTTTGGGTCTGCGTCAGGCTTGGCTGCCATCCTACAGTGCCCCCAACTTGCTGCATTTCTGATCATTGCAGGAAAAATGCTCATGTACCAGGCAGAATGCCATGCTACGTTAATACCAGCCGGAATGCCGAAATGCCAATGTCTTCAGGGCCGTGAACTCCAGGGGGACAATAGCTTCACACACTGTCCAGCTTGGATGACTCAAAAGCATATGGACACAGAACGGAAAAACAGAAAGCAAGCTTTTAACCATTTGCTCCCAGGATGCTACAAGGCAGATGGTCCATCGAGAGAACATTAAATAGTGTCCCTTGGCCTAGCAATAAGCTCCCATTCCAACCCTTCTGAGTTTACGGGAAAATACTTAAACAAGTACCACCCTGGTTCTCACAGTGGCCATCTTTTTTTTTTTTTTTTTAACATAAAGAAAAATCAGCTTTGGTCCTAGTTTGTAGCTAGAATGAAATAACTTTAGTTTGAGTTTATTATATTTGTGGTGGATCTCTTACCTAAGAAAAGCACTACGTGGGATCTGACACCCGTGGCATAGTAGACTAAACCTCTACCTGCAGCACCTGGAATCCCACATGGACACTGGTTCGAGTCCTGGCTATTCCACTTCTGATCTAGCTCCCTGTGGGTGTGCCTGAGAAAGCAGTGGAGAATGGCCCAAGTTCCAGGGTCCTTGCACGCACGTGGGAGACCAGGAAGATCCTGACTCCCAGCTTCCAGTCAGCCCAGCTGTGGCCACTGCGGCCATTTGGGGGGAGTGAACCAGTTGACTAAACATCTCTCTGTGTTTCACCTTCTCTCTATGTAGCTTTAATTCAAAAATGGTTACATCTTTAAAAAAAAAAACACTATGTAAATAAATGGCGTTGAGTTGGTAGTTTCAGATATTGGGAACAGTTTTTGATACAGGGGTCAAGGCAGCCTCATGCCTGGTCTGAAACCTCTGGAGTATAAGAGTGGCTGGAGACGGTTTGAACCACTTGGACCCCGGGAAACTCAGAAGAAGCAAATGTCACCTGCTTAGTACTCTCCCTGACAACACCCAGAAGTCAGATCCCCAGAAGTAGACTGGGAGAAATTAACAACAACAAAGCACCCAGGGCATCGCTGGTGATGTCATCAGAGATTCAAGAAGAAATCACTCAGGAGGGGAAATGGCATTACTCCTGAAGAGGGTATAGAAACGACCCCTGGTCCTTCTATGCCCAAGGAGTTCTCCCTCCTCTGCCACCATTCACTTTCCTATGCGTCCTGTTCTGGGAACTCTCATTCCTTACTCCTCTTGCTTCTGTGAGGAAAAAAAAAAAAACAAACACAGGACAAGGGTAAAACTTCGGGCCTCATGCCCCGCCCCTCACTCGCTCCCTATCTCCTGATTGGAGGGCACATTCCTCATCCATTCTCTGGATTGGTGGATCTCCTTCAGCACCTTCCTCCAAAGGGGTTTGACATCTGAACCCATCTTCTAACCAATCATAAAGCTCTGCAGACACTGTTCTTTCCCAAGGTCCAGGACTCTTCCGGGAGCTTTCTGATGGCTGCTGGTGTTGTGCTGTGAGGCAATGCCACCCTGTGCCAACCCAGTGCTCTGTGGATGGTCATTCAGGCACTTGCAGACTCTGCTACCCCAGCCACACTACCCTGTGCACACGTGCATGCCTTGCTCAGAAAGCTGATTCCTGCAGCTAGAGGTACTGAGCCAAACACCCTCTCATCTGTTTCATAGCCGGTAAAGCATCCTGGGCACTGAGTGCTGCGTCAGCCTTGACTTTTGGATGGGATCAAGAACCTACCGCCTCTTATTTGGATGTTGCATCTCCAAATTGGAGTCAACCCTTGCTCCTCCCAGACCCCTCGAGGCGAGCCTCGGCCATCCCAGAGCTGTTCCCAGGGTCCTTGCTCCAACCCACACCCGTGTCACCCTCTTGCCCCCTTCTGAAGCCCCAAGAGCTATCCTGGGGCTGCAGGTTGCAGGCTGGCCTTGAGGTTACTCCTTGCCATTCACCAGACCGCGTCTGCTTCCTGGGCCTGTCTGCTGGGCACAGCCAGTCCCTCTGTCTCAGCGTGCTGGTTCCCACAGCCTCAGCCTCGGCTCAGACACCCCTAGAGGGGCCAGCCCATGACCGCCTGGTGTGAAGCAGCCAGCCCTCCTCCAATCTATCCCGTCTCCTGCCTAGGACTTCACCAGCTCATGGTCTGTCTCCCTCTGTCCCTGGCTGTGCCCACTGCAGTGAGAGATGCCCAGTCCCACCAATGAAGAGCTGGATAGGC